ACTTTAAATGGAAGTGCCTTATGTGCCTTATTTTGATCACGTGACGTGTCGTTTTTCAATTATATAGGCCTTTCATTCCGCAAGTCGCAAAAAACTAACAGTGTTAAAAAAAGTTTTGAATAAAAGCGGCATCTAATAGAAATTTGTTGGATTTTGTTGCTTACTTTACGTTATTAAGTCTTTAGAAAGGCGTAAAGCTTAGGTGTATGAAAGTGATGAGCATAATAAAAGGAGTCTGTTACCTTCCATTCAAGTACATTGACATCGAAGCGAGCCGAATGAGTGATGGACTGCACCCAATTGAAATGCAGGAATGAAATCTCTCTCGCATCCGTTACAAGGTACGACTTGTACATCAGAGATTGGAAATGAATTCTGCCCATAATTAGTGCCGAATTTTTGTCATATGACGGCTTTTATATGGCGCGTACATCAATTTTCTATGGAGTGTAGCACTCCAGGTTAAAGTTCTTATAGAAGGTCTGTAGTTCCACTGATATACCACAACGAAGCGAATTAGTCGACTTCAACACAGCGATAAGCAGGCTCATATTTTTTATCAATTCCCTTTGCGACGGTTGAATATAGCCGCAGCGGGGGATAAGGCGAAAGCAATGATTTTGAACATGGGTATAACACCTCGAATATCCTCGAGAACATTAAATCTTGGAGTTGAGCAAGCCATGCACCTACCGCCCACGAGCATATCTTTATCATGATAAAATGCTGCGTAATGCATAGCGGTCACAAGATTATAAGTTTAGTCCACCCGACATTCTTTGATAGCAATGGGTCACTAACAAGACTGTGTTCCGGAAGAAATAAAGTAAAGACAAGTATCACTACAGAAACCCTTTGTCACGTGCTTGCACTGGAAGTCGGTTAAGAGGAATAGTCGGGTCAAGAGAAGCGAATCCATGCAAACCTTTTCTCTCGTAACCGAATAGTTGGAGCTTATTCAGTAAGAACGAGGTCTAGATCAAAAGCTAATCACATCGTTGACTCGATATTTTATAGCAAAAGTACGGTTATTTACAAAATATGGCGACGTTAAACTTAAATACCGAAGCAGAGCCGAAGGAGCTGCAAGGAGAACCACGCTGGTCTAGCATTCGGTATGCACCACACCCACGTCCTGCACAATGGACTCACTCCATCGATGAAGAGCTGGTACAGCTAGTAACGCAGTCTACTGCCAGCGGAGAGAGATTTCCTGTCGGCGTCAACTGTGCGTGCTGCCTGTGGACATTGTGATCACAAAACAGAACGTGATGACTGACTACGCTTTTTGTCATTTCCATTTTGCAAACAAGTTCAGGGCTTGAGGTCTCCCGAGTAGTACGACAGTCTCCGGTGGACTGCGTAAAGCGGTACGCTTTTTTGCATGACGCTCGTGATCGAAGTAACACACAGGAAGAAGAGCATAATATGAAGATCAGACTGGAGAAAAAGGGAGAGACTGAAGTTCTGGAAGAGGAGCTGGAAGGAGCACTCTTAGATAGCGACGAGTATCTCGAAAACCAAACTTCGTTGAGTGACTTTGGGACGCCCATAGCATCACCCAAAATATTGGGTGCTTTTGATGAGTTTGAAACGAGTCGACCAGCATCTCCTAACTCTCCACCGCCATTTGCGATCTCCAAGCCAAGTATTTTAAGACAATCCGAAAACGCTGAAGGGAGCCCATTTCGATGGGAAGATTTAGTCAATGATCCAAAGTACACAGCTCCAGTGCTACATTCGCCACCAAGTCGTAGTCACAAACAGAACTATCGAGATCGTCACGAACTTGAAGATGTCGAATCGAAGTCCGTGTCGCCAAGACAAAATCCACGAGGATTTATGTTGCCAACCGATTCAAAGGTATGTTGTTTTTCTTGGTTTCAATTATTGCGACGGCGTTATTAACAACCATTTCGTGCAGAACCATATCAAAGAGATTGGAAGTGAATCAGCCTTTTCGCCTTCTGTTCTCACGCACACGCTTAAAGGTGTAAAACTTGGGGTGTCGATTGGATCCCCAATATTGGGCTCACCTCTTATTAAATCTCCCCGCTTCAGCAGAAAAATTTCCAATTCAAGTAACTTGGTTATTTATCTGCTCGAATCGCATCTAACTCATGTTCCGTCTTGTGTTTAGAGTATCCCTTTTTGAAAGATGAAGGTGTTTCTACCCGTCAATCCCCAGGCAGTAACATGAGCGATTACTTTCGCGACCTTGAAGGGGCAGGCATTCGAGCCGGAAGTTACCCCAATGAGTCACACGATGCTACGGTAAACGAGCTACAGAGCCAGATGAATGCTCATCTTCTGCCCATGTCAGCAACGTCCGAATTGTCGGCTATCCACGGCGATGACCCCTTTTTAGGATCGATGACGCAGTCGGCGCTGGAAGACGCTTTTTTAGATATGGCGGGCTCGCGTCTGGACGCTTCCAGTATCCTTCTGGGTAGTCGAATGTCCACTGCGCGTTTGGAGCATATTCTCTCTGAAGACCGTCGAGACGTTACACGTAAATCAACTGAATAAGCAAGGCAAACATATTTATAATCATTGTTCGAGAGGTCAAATGTAAAGACTTTTAGTATATTTTGAGTCTTCACGGTTATTTCAAAGCCAAAGCGATATAGAGTAATCTTCTTCTGGCGAATGATCTATGCCTTGCTGTCATGGGTGGTCTGTGGGAGCGCTTCCAGTGCAGCCTTGTGCTTCTTGGCTGCCTCGCTTTCTTTAAACTTAGCGTAACCGTAAAGAATACCGCCTACCATTCCAAATGTGACGTAGATGGCTGTGTCCGGCTTCAAAGATTCACCCAGAAGCAACACCCCGATAAAAGTCGTTGGGATTTTGTTTAATCCACCCACAGTTGCGTACGTTGTCGCTGACGTGGCAGACACACACCAGAAAGACGCGAGGTTAAGTCCAACACCGAGTATGCCGCTGATAAAGAGCATCGTGGCAAAGTTAAAGTTACGTAACAATGGGTTGCTCCAGACTGTGAACGCTTCGCCATTAAGGACGAGCGCTGGTGTCAGTAGCGGCAATGAGATGAGATTGTTGTAAAATGCCATGCCAAATTTTGAGATCTTTAACGATGAGCGTGTTGTGGCGTAACGCATGTATAACACGTAAGCAGCGGTGGAAGCACAATTAAGCAACATCCAAAAGTATCCTGAGATCGTTGATGGTGTGGCCTTGCCGCCCACGTCGCTGTAGGAGGACATGACAGCACCCATGAGCATGACACCAAGACTCAAAAGTACGAGACAACCCACGCGCTCACCAAAGAAGCGCCACTCGCCAAAGACGATGATAATATTTGTCACGTTTTTGAATACCGTGACAATGTGAATGGGAAGTCCTGCTGTAGCCTGCATACTCGTGTATAGCATGGCGACGAAAAAAAACGTCACAGGCGCCCACTTTCGTGCAACTAAACTATCGTATGGATCATACGAAATAAGCTTTTGTATCTTAGCCAGCTCTAGTACGAGAACTGCTACACCAGCTTGGACTGCCACGACGAAAAACTTTTCATCGAAGCCATAGTATTTCTTGCCCAACAAATAGCGATTTGTTAGCACCATCACATTGGACATAATGCTGTATACAAGACACGAGATGATTGACAGTACGAACGAGCCTGCGGTGTGATCCTTTTTAGGTGGCATGATTAATAAAACCAGATGAACGACGTATAACCGAGGAGACGTTAAGTATGCAGAGGAATGTAGAATGGTTATAACCACGTAGGTGTCGTTACCAATTTATTGAGCCACTGAAACCGTACGTGGTACACATTACCTTAAGGTTACATAAACGTATAAGATCGAAACGTTGCGGCTCTTTAATGACTCAGCAGATGCAGTTTACTCGGTCCCTTGGTGACAAGCAGACAACCACAACCGCATGGACATCTAGCAGCAGTAGCTCACCACCACGTATTGTGACATTTGCAAGGCAGAAGAAACCACCCTCGCCAGTTGTGTACCAAAGTCGAGCACAAAAAGAATACTCTGCTAATCAGTCGGAAGAGCTGCCGCGACGGCAGCAGCCACATACTCAAATAACGACACAGCGCGATGGCTCAAGTGCAAAATCAATAGCTTTGAGGTCAAAACCAAGAAAACCCGCCTGGGATGCCGACGTTAGCCATAACTTGACGCTGTTCGATGCGTCGCTAAAGAAGTCGATCTTGTTTCAACCCCGAGCAACCGGCGACCATGTAGATGACACATCACAGTCACTTGCACAAAGTCAAGTTACGAAAAGAAAGAAAAAGGCTCATTCGCGTTCAAAGCTTGTACGGTATCGATCTGGACCATCCAGTGTGTACTCACAGCAACGCCAGAGCGTACATTGGCCGCAACGTAAGCCCAAAGACTTCGTTCAGCAAAACATTGTACATCTTACAGGGCAACAAATGTATACACCTTCTAAACAAAGCAAAACACGGTCACGTAATCAAGAAGAAGCATCTAAACGACAGTCGACATTTCAAGTGGGCAGGCCATTACGAAAGTCGCATACACTAGAGAAGGCAGCAAGAACCGAACAAGACTCCAACGATGCGCCGTCTTTAGAGGTGTCGTCACAATTATATTCCCCACCAGCAACGGAACATCTATCAGCCTTGCCAATTGATGGTTCACCACCAAACAAAGTTATGTCGTCGTCCGTATACTTGTCACCTCAACGATCCCAGCAGTCTCACTCATCGAGTCGCTCTCCTTCGTCTCGTCGTATTTCCACAAACCGAGTCTACCGCACCCATGTGCAGAGTCACCGCGATAACTACTTAGCGCAAGTGTTTCGAGTGCTTGATCGAGATCATAAAAAGCGAATCGGCGTGAATCAAGTTCTGCAGGGACTTCGACTACTGAGCCTACCAGCTACACACAGTCAGGTATGTGAGTTTCAATAGTTTTTACACTGTTCAGGTTAAGTTTTTCTAGCAATGTCGTCTTTGTTCTTAGATCTCCGACTACATTTACCTCATTCATGAAGGTCTTTACGACTCAATTGATCTAGAAGAGTGGGAAATTTTGGTGAGTACACTAGATGCTGCATCACGCCCAGCCGAATCCCCACGCAAAGCGCATGCAGGTTCAAAGAACGCCACGACCTCCCGTTCACCATTCAGTCACCAGGTTTCTTTGCCTCCGTCATCCCCACGGTCCACTTCACCTCATTCACGATATCGTCCATCGAGTGCATCATCCTTAAATCAAAACGACCTTGTGTCCGCTGGGGCAAATCAGACTACTCACGACATCGAATCCTGTCATGTAACTTCAATTCAGCGAGAGCCGGCAAAACATCAGCCCCTTTCAGATGATGATCCCTATCTCAAAGAAATACAGGTATTTTCTGCCTTCGTTACCTGCCAATGCAACGAACGATCGAACTTAAATATTATATCAACCGCAGAATCGCATCGAGGAAATGTTTGATAAAGCGCAAGCATTGCGTTTGGCACCTGAAGCAACGAATATTCAATTCGCAGATGATTTAGATCGAAGTAGATCTGATCGTGTACTGAAGCGAGCAACTCGTGTCGTGTATAATCTTCGGGTGCGCTCAATACATTTGAGAGTCGCTTAGAAGCACGCTTATTTTCTGTTTTTTTGGCATGATTGGTGAACGTAGGCTTCTCTATTTCCACTTGTGCACCAAGCTGAGTCCATTCTGCGAGAGCTCCAACAACGGCATTGCGCGAACCTGTCGCTTTTTCTTCCTCCAAATGACATGGCTGCGATCGCGCGAAATTCCGATGTTCTCGCCACAGCCATCTTGGATGACATTTTACTGGTAATGATGCAACATAGATTTAAAATGGGTTATATATTACTGACCTCATTGTGTTCAAATTTGGACGGGATCAGGACACGGTTCAGTTACTGAATGATGAAGAGAAACAAAAGTCTCGATATCAGTTGCAGGTTCACCATGCCGGGCAGCTTGACAATGTCATGAATCGCATTCTGGAGATTGAACGCGAGGAGGATAACATGATTCATCAAGGGCTCGACATGAAGTATCAATCCGTAAATATCAAACGCGATCATTCACCAGTTTTACCTCCAGAAGATCACGCAAAGGTATATCAACACGAATGTGCTGAGACGCCAAAATTGACTCTCCCATTAGAAGTGGTGATGAATATTAGCGCTTCAGACGATGACAGTGATCAGTTATCGCCTGGTGTAGTTGGAACTCAGATCTTTGAAAAGAGCGAATGCGCATCTACAAGAGATAATTCTTTGGCTCAGCAAGTTGTGTTGCCAGGCATCATCGCGAATACTTCGATTCTTGAAGGCAAACGCCTTCAATTGATTGAACGTAGACGACGCAAGTTTGAGCATCACCGTCGACTTGTGGAATCCTCGTTGGCTGAAAGTGGAATGACGCAATGTGCAGTTATTGAAATGTACGTTGTGTTTTTGAATTCGAGACGGACATCTGCACGAATTAATCAGGCTATTGATGTCATCGTAGTTTGGAAGGAATGTTGGTGGATGATCTCGTCGAGCAGATTGCTGTAGAGCTGAGCGATACAGTCTTGTCGATGTCGGACACGCTGCTGACCAATTTGCTGTGAAATCGTGTACGCTTGTCTTTACCTACTTGCTTCAAAGGTATGTTTGGTATGACGGAGACATTTATGTTGTTATTGAGCGGAAAGGATCGTTCATTTAGACATGGTAACTTAAAAACGTGAAGTTTGGCAGAATGTTTAACAAAGGATAAGAAGCGATACGTGGTCTTATATTCAACTGTTGCTGAAGGTACTTTTACCTTCACTTTGGAAATCGTTGAGAGTCCAACTTCGGCAAGATCGCCCAGGCACCGTCGCAACTTAATAAATGGTGCATTTTTGGTATCCATCTCCCCTGGAGAAGCGGCGGGGTCTTCCGGCGCAGCATTATAGAGTGGGCTCCGACCTTGTTTCAATTTCAAGACTTGGTTGCTAGCTGTTACAACAGTCTCGTGGAGATAAGCGGAGGTATTGACAACAAGAATTTAAGGTTATGACTTTCTACCTCTACGTCCACATTGTGAGTTGTGCTTTGGAAAATCATTCGCTAAGCGACGTTGTAGTCGAGCGTCTGCTTTGTTGAAGCTGCTGTTTTGACGTGTGAGAAGCATGTCTTCGTTTCTAAGTGCGCGAATTGAGTGCGATACGAATTTGATAAAAGCGGTATATATATATGCTTTGATCAGCATTCAGTATTTAACAACATTCGTATGGATAGATTCTATTGCCCCGACCGCTGCTGATCCGAACGCGGGAAGTACACCAGATCTTCCTAATCTCATGCCTTGACCACTACCCGATTGGAAGCTCGGACAAGAAATTGTATTGTATGGTGATTGTAATTAGTATAACTATACCAAATGTGAAAGTGGATAAAGACAGCACTTTTTTATCTAACATATCTTTAATTACTTACTAGAACCTGTAGCAGCGCTACACACATACTGTCACCCGCTCATGCGGCGTGGATCAACTCCGTAACTGACGACGTCACCGTCGCGATATGAGCAAGCCCATAGTACAGTTTGCGTGACAACGCATCAGCCAAAGCATTCTGCTTTCCTGGCTTATACTTCACACCTCGAAGGTATATTCTGTAAAGAATAAGAGCCATCTCATCCTCTGCGGGAGTGAGGCGACTGAGTCGCAGCGCGTAATGATGCATGATATGTGCAGATCACAAACAGTTTTGATCCAAGCAGGTGTACCTTGAACTTGACAAGCGCATACTTCATACCAAGTAATTCCTTGTCGTGGACTGAGTACCTCCTTCCCGCAGCCATAAGCTGGCAAGATTCAAATGTGATCACCCGATCTCGCCCCTCGGCGTCTGCTTGCAGCAGTGCACAGCCGATGGCAAAGTTCGAAGCGTCACAGACGTCACTAAACGGACGATCGGGGTCTGGCAACCCCAGTATTAGTGCAAGAAGGAGGCTGTCTCTGACCCTGTCAAAAGCACCCCGATGCTCGGTGTCCCAATACCATTTCTTATCCCTTTTAAATTAAATAAGACAATGAACGTGCCAGTTCCACATTACTTGCGATATACTAGTGTAGTTGGCGAGGCCAAGTCACCAGCGCAAGTTCTATTGGTTCTTTGGAACTGGCCAGCCTTTACCTTAGCGGGATCCGCTCGAAGGCCACGCTTCCCAGTGAAGCACCCTGCAAAGGGAATTTCTTTCACGACGAAGATGAATTAGCATACAGCTTATTCGTGCGCATGCACTCGAGCACTGTTCTCAAATGGACGATGCGGTTTTCCACTTCTGTCCTCCCATGCCCCGCACGACTATGGACAAAGATGTCGAAAAATGTTTGTGCATACGTCTGATGGGGCCAAACTGCGTCACTAGGCCATTAAATGTTGCTGGTGCATTTGTTAGCCCTTGGGGCATCACCAGCCACTCCCAGAGCATCCCGCTTGAAGAACTCACCGTTGTCAGCGCAATATCACTCGCTCTCATGAGCAATTGGTAATAACCATCGACCAGGTCGAGTGCGCTGTACTTTGTACAGCCAACCATATTGTTCTGGAGAACATCCAGTTTCAAAATCGGCGTCTGTGTCGGGAAAGTGACAGCGTTTAGCTTATTGTAAGCGTGAACGATACGTCACTTGTCGTTCTGCTTTAGACACAAAAGATGTCGAAAGTGAAGACTCTCTCACGCACCATTCCTGCGTCGTGCTTGGCACGGAAAAGGCGTCGGTGACGTCACATTCTCCCTGGGCAGAAGGCATTGGCGCGTTACGCAGTATTTGGTTTTCGGAACCAGGTCGATCTCATGACGCACAGGTAGGATCGACGGCGGGCCTTTGGAGACGACGTCTTGCAATTCTTCTACCAAAGAATAGTAATGACCCGAGGGATCCTGTAGGATCGACAATCCACTTCGTGAATTCAGCACCCTCTTAATGTCCTGCAGAAGCTTCATTCAGAAGCGACGGCGGATTCCTCGTTTGGTCGTATATTGACCACCTCTGCTGAATCGCATGTCATTACGGCATGGCCTAGCATTATAAAGGACATCTCGTCCGACTAAATAAGAGCCTTCACCGGGAACAGCCTCGAGGGTAACGTCACCGTCTTTCTCTCCCGTCATACCGCTGACTAGGGTATATGATGTGCGTTATCGTCCACGGAATAGACACCTTATGTCAAGGTCGATGCCCTGCGTCTTGTAGATATCATACGGCATCGACTTCTCCTCTCCATCGAAATCTTTTCTCGCTTCGTGGCCAGTGTGAAAAGGCCCTCGGCATCGTCCAGCGTTCCTACTCCCTGCTTCCGGGAGCCTTGATGTTATTGACAACATCCGACGAAGCACTGCTATTTTTGTTGTATTCGTCCAGTGGATAACGTGCCACTTCACGCGTATCACTGGAGCCTCGCTCTCGATGCCTCGGATCTCGTCCGACCATGCCACTCTTTGCATGCAGCAGCTGCTTCGTAACGTGAGCAGTGATCAGTGGGTTACGTGCCACTCAGTGTGCATCACCTGGCCTCGCTCTCGATGCCTCAGCCCTTTCTCAACCATGCCACTCTTGTCCGATACACCTTCGGTGTTCGACAGCTCGGATAACGCGATATCCAGCACATGGATCGTCCCATTTCAGTGTTCGCGCCAACAGGGCTTCTGGGGTGAGTTCATGACTCACCAAGCTCCACCAGGAGACGTGCACGTAGCCCCCAAGGTATTCGAACTCCAATCAATCCATGGTTCATGGTGTTCCAGCTATGCCATACCTAGGGTTAGGTCATACCTTGCGTCCGAGTCTAAGACTAAGCAGTGCTTCACGCTATCAAAGTCACGAAACTTGGTATGAGGTCCACAGGGACCCTCGGCACAGTGACACAAGTCCCCGTTGATAAGCGAGCAGTGACGGTGTCACACAACCACGCTTTCAGCGACTCAGCATTCAGCTCAGTTCCTTCGGTCGTGGAGCGCCGAGCATAATAGCTCGACGCTAAAAAATCGACACCGAACTTTCATTTCTTCTTATAACCCTTCACGGTCGCTTTCATGACCAGCAAGTCCGGCTTGCATACACGCTCCATGCTCAAGAGCACGCAGCTCTTCACTTCTTCGTGACAAACCAGTAGACTAGTGAAAAGCGAGACCTTGCGCAGGGAACGACTAGTCCAAAGCTGACAAGCGTATCAACAGACAAAACACCGTCGGATGTTTAAACGCTGCCCGGCAGCTCGGAGCTCTCCAGAAAAAATGCCATATACATAGGCTTCGAGATTGACATACTCCATAGTACGAAGTATCGTATCACACAGCAGTGGCCGTTGTCGAAAGAACAAGTCATAGCGATGCAGACTTTTTCGCGCAGCGTCAGAAGGCTGGTCATGTTCGCGAGATGAAATCACTGCATTGTAGTCCGAATTTAATGTGTGAGGAAATTCACAGGTGATAGACGAATTGCTCACGCATTTAACAAATTGAACGATACGACCATACCTGCCAAGACTCCGGTTCCACATAAGGATGCAATTTTGGTTGGAATGGGTGACAGTACTGTTTTCAGTGCGATCGATCTGAAAGATGATTTTTATCGGATACGAATACGCAAAGATGATACACCACTAGCTGCAGTCAGCCTTCCAAAGGTATGCTGTAAGGATCAAGCAGCGAAGCAGTTTTAGCATTTTTAGTGTATTTCGAGGAGCGATTTAATTTGTATTTCATACTGAAAATCAAAATCAAGTGAGCTTTTCCCCTTTTGTTCTACATGAGATTTCTATTCTCATTGAGCTCACCTGCTAGTGATGTCACAATGTTTGGAGAACGCTGTGAGGAACAGCACGTAGCTGACTTTATTGGGAAGAGAAAAGTCGTTGTTCGATTTGCTCGAGACGCAATAGCGAAAGTGCAGGATCTGTAAAGAGAACAAGCAGATAAGAGCGGAAGAAAGAACAAAAAGGTACATACGCTCAATGATCGGGTACTACTTAGCACAAAAATCTGCCTGAAGATGGCGAGTCCAACTTGGGACGCAGGAAGCTTGAACTAAGATGGATTAAGACTGCTCAAGATGTTGAAATGCAATGGTGATACATGCGCCTACATTCTACATTTGATGTGGGTGAGCTAAAGCTGTATCTTCCGGGTGGACATTATCTCTCTCAGATGCTCGAATCTATCCGAACAGGCCCGTAGGCGCATGATACCACTTTTCCGTTTATTTGCTCTGTGTTGAAAATGTGAATTTCTTTTGTGTTTTACAACCGAGGAAAACGAAATATTCATCTACACGAAAACAATTTAAGTGTTTATGAACCTATGTCCAACTTGGCCATATTGCAAGCTGTAAATCAATTTGTACATGACATATGACCACAAAGAGTGTTTATGCAGCTCAGTTGATAAATAATTTTTAGATTGCTATTTTGTTCATGGTATCAATCGATGTCGTCATTCATTATGCCCCACGCAGATTGTTATGTTGTAAGAAATGCTGTGGCTAATCAAACGAGTGCCCACTAATCAAAGCAAAGACGAAATCTTGCTTATAATAAGTTAGGCTTCTATATCGAGACCCATTATATTGATTGTATTAATCCTCTATGAGACCCACGATACCTCACTCAGTGGTCATCTTAGTCGTGAGAGCACGTACAGATCGACTATTGGTGGTCCAAGCTGTACAAGTAGACGAGCACATATGTGCGCACGTGCGAGGCGTGTCAGATTGCAAAACCCTCTCCGAATGCGACGGCGCCGCTGGCCAGTTTACCGGTAACCTTTGGTTGTTTGCAGTTCATGAGTTTGGACATTGAGTTTGGCATGCTGGAGAACTCGGCGGACAACACGGGTGTGGTGGTCTTTGTAGACCGTTTGAGCAAGATGGCTCATCTTGCGGCTGTGCCGGATACTATAGACGGTGTGGGTACAGCGACGCTGTTGTGGATCGTAGCATGGAGTTCTGGAGTCAATTGTTTCCGATACAGACCCGCGCTTCACTGGGAAGTTTTGGTCTGCAGTTTATTAGGGTGCTGGGCACCAGGTTGTCTATGTCAACAGCGGACCATCCGCAGACCGATAGTTGGACCAAGCGCGTAAAATGAGTCATTGAATACAATCTTCGCAGCGTCTGCGCTGAGACGCCGATAAGCTAAAGCGCTATCTTGACACTTCGAAAGATGCGGTGCATGAGTCTACCGGCTACACGCCGTTCAACGTGAACAAGCTGATACACCCTCGCGTTCCGCTAATGCCGCCATCCCATGGCTCAGAACTTGGTGAGGGAGAAAAGCCAAACAACTAGCTGATGTCAGCCCCCTCACCATTCGTAAAGAAGTCGACGACTCCTTGTCTACCAAACTGAGGGTCCTACGACACGTTCGCGATGCGATGGTCGAGAACAAGACCTGCAGAAACAACACGCAGATGGAAAAGTAAGCGGCAAAGTGGGAAGCTTTAAGGTCGGGGACCTGGTTTAATTGAATTTTAAAAATCTGCCTAGATATGCAGCCTCTGCTATCTTCCGGACGAAGCTTTGTCCACGATTTATCGGACCGTTCAAGGTTGTGGCCAAACGGGGCCTGGCGTATACGCTGAATCTTT